ACTTGTAGACATATGGAGGAGGTGGGGGTGAGCTGTAGACATATGGCGGTGGTGGAGGAGACTTGTATACATATGGAGGTGGTGGTGGAGAACTGTAGACATATGGTGGTGGTGGAGGAGAGCTGTAGACATAGGGAGGTGGTGGTGGAGAGCTATAGACGTAGGGAGGTGGTGGAGGAGACTTGTAGACATATGGAGGAGGTGGGGGTGAGCTGTAGACATATGGCGGTGGTGGAGGAGACTTGTATACATATGGAGGTGGTGGTGGAGAGCTGTAGACATATGGTGGTGGTGGAGGAGAGCTGTAGACATAGGGAGGTGGTGGTGGAGAGCTATAGACGTAGGGAGGTGGTGGAGGAGACTTGTAGACATATGGCGGTGGTGGTGGAGAACTGTAGACATATGGCGGTGGTGGTGGAGAGCTATATACATAAGGAGGTGGAGGTGGTGAATTGTAGACATAAGGAGGTGGTGGAGGAGAGCTGTAGATATATGGAGGAGGTTTGTAAACATATGGAGGAGGTTTGTAAACGTATGGAGGAGGTGATGGGGAGCTATATGGCGGAAGCGGGGGAAAAGTATAAACATACGGTGGTGGTGATGCTGGTGAGTATTGGGCACTTGTATGTACAACAATGGCATACAAGGCCAAGACCAACATTAGTAGCGATGACCAATTAGAATTGGCCATGTTAACAAAACTTGTGTGCACTTTCTTTTAGTTTAAGATTCTCTAACAAGTTTAGTTTTGAATGTGTTGTAATAACAAGCAAGCGGTTTATATAGCAGCCATCGCTGCAAATGGTATTATTGTTTATTAGAGGTCATGAATGTTTCCTTTGCAATAGGGTTAATAGTTTAATAAGTCAATTAATTTCACAATTTGTTTAATTAAGGTAAAAATGAGGAACAAGTCTTTGGTAGCTACGTCTTACCATATTCCACATTCGGATAGCAGACTTTGAAGTTGTCAATCTAAACTCGACATCATCTAATATAGCGTTAAATGCTAATGAACATAAGCAGAAGAACTTTTCCATGATAACTTGCAAACACAAATTTACTGTTAGAATTCATTCAAGTTATCTTAACTCACATGATTCATGATTTAATATACATCACATGCATATACGCATGTCTAGAGAAACATAACTTTTGCACAAACATAACTTTGTATTCATATACAATTATATACAGATAGTTTTAATCTTCATGTGATGTTCTGGAGTATAAAATGAACCTTATAACTTTTTCTATAACCATGATGTTCTGGATCTTACAAGATCTTCAATAACCATCTTGATGTGTTATAGTATGCTCTTTAGCTACATGCTATTATAAAACTACACCAACTTGCTTGCAAATTTTTTTAAAAAAAAAATATGGATGATAAAAATCCATACATATCCAAATTTTCTATATAAGATGAATTTCTCCTGAAAATAGAAAAAAGAAAGATGGATTTCTCCTTTAATATAAAAAATACTGGCAAGAACATGACAAAAGAAACGTTTTGGTTTAGACTTTGAAGTTGTCAATGTAAGTAAAGTCGGTTATTTATGTAAGAATATAAATCCTTTATCAAAAAAAAGTAAGAATGTGTCCATCATGTTTTCTTATTGATTTCTAAAATTTGATAACTCATTGTCGGTACTCGGTATGTATACATCAATCAAAACCACTGAATTTTTTTGATAAAGATTATTGAAATATTAATTATTAATAACATGGTACAATAGTCAATAGGGATGTTAAAAAATGCGGGTTTTACCTAGTGAATAATACCCTAAACCCTTTGAAATTTTTAAGCACATAATCCTACCTTTTTTCTAACTAAATATATAATACGGATTCAAAACGGTTTAAAAGTGTACCGTACAATATTTACTACTAGTAGTATATCATAAGATACTAGTTATGGGTTCGACTTAATCGAAATACACTTTCTCATTGGTTTGACAATTATTCCAAGAGAATATTACACTCAAAGTCACTTTAACACTTACAAATATCAAGTAAAAGCACTTTATGCTTTAAAGAGACTTTGACCAATAAAAGTGATAGTAAAATCTCAGTCTTGCCCTTTTATCCAAATTGTGTCATCTCACGTGTTGCGTAAAACACTGGAATTTTACTACAACACCGCAGTAAATTTATATTGACGTAGCAGCCCCAATAATCGCCGGAGTAAACCTAATAACTGAATGCTATGTCCGACCGATCTCTATGATTAGTCTGATTTCGAAAATCGATTTGGAAAATTTCGATATGAATTCGTCGGGTAAAATTTTGCTGGCTATGAGATTCCGTCGTCGAATTCTGTATTAACAATCGATTTGGAAGATTTCGCCGTCGAATTCGTCGAAAAAAATTCTTCTGGCTATTGGATCTGGGAAATTTTCAGTCTCGTCGAAGTTTGGAGAAGATGAATCTGGTTAACTCGCAATCATGTCCACATCTACATGTCCATCTGAACGTCTTTGTTTAGATAATTAAATTTTGAGAATTTGCATTAGATGTGTGTGTGGACATGTTTCCATGTACATGATTTGTGAACACAAATATAATTAACAATTGAGTGAGTGTTTGTTGAGTTATTGTTTATCGCCTAGACTGTTTCATAGAACCGTATCCATATGCTTGTGTCCATACTTCGTATTCATATGGATATATAACATTTATGTTCATATTCATTGTGTGAACATGGTTCTGAAATTGGTTCTCAATCTATCCAAAACTCAACATACTATTTTTACAGGAAGGACCAATAGCCACATGAAGTCGTTGACATGATATTTGTGGATATGCAATCGTGGACAGAATAACATATACATATTTAGTGATGTGCCCATCTGGACATTTGTGTTTTGGATAATTAAATTTTTGATAATTTGCATAAGATGTGTGACAGAATAACATATACATATTTCCGTGTCCACACATACATCTTATACAAATTCTCAAAATTTAATTAACTAAACAAAGATATCCAGATGGGCGCATCATTAAATATGTATATGTTATTCTGTCCACGATTGCGATTAGATGTGGACATGTAGATGTGGACATGATTGCGAGTTAAACCAGATTCATCTTCTCCAAACTCTGACGAGACTGGAAATTTCCCAGATCCAAGAGTCAGAAGAATTTTTTCGACGAATTCGACGGCGAAATCTTTCAAATCAATTATCAATACAGAATTCGACGATGGAATGAAAAGCGAAATCTAAAATCAAGGACGGAGAGAGAAACAACAGCGATGATGAACGACGGAGTGTGAGGCGGAGTTGCTGATTTTCAGTGAAAGGTAAAAATAAGAAATAAAGAGTAAAGTAAAAGACAAAGTTGTAATTAAACAAAAGAAGAAAGGAGTGTTTTGTCTTTACAATGCCCCAAAGTTCCTTAGGAGTAGAAAGTGTCTATAAGTGTTAGAAAAAAGACAAAAGTACCTATAACTGTAAATCACTCATTATTCCAATTGATTTATAATCAAAGTGTTATGCAACGTCGTCATACACTCATCATACTCAAATGAGCAGTAAGAAATGCCACGGCCGGAGGCATTCCTATGCTCACTCAAGTATATACGGTCCATTTGTACTACACTTTGATTTTAAGTCAACGGTAACAATAATTGACTAGGCCTATGGCGTGGCCATCCTTCAGATTGGAGTCCTCGGATCTTTACCATATCATGACTAATTTTAGGAGTTGGAGAATAGAACTTGAAGTGAGTTGCACCAACAGAGGGGCTTTTCTCATTGCTCGAAGTGTGATCAAAGAAGGTCTCTCTCAATCTTATGTGGCGAGTGGGCATCCGAGATGGCTTCATTTGGTTTTCGATAGTGAGAGAGTCTCTCCCTCGGTGTGAGGTGTTCTTGGTTGTATTGACTGTTTATTGTTTTTGGTACTCTTTCCTCCTCTTTCTTATTGGTTTTCCGTAAGATTAAGAGAGGCCCTTTTGTTTTAGGCTGAAAGTGGCTGTGCTTGAGCAGTGTAGTTGTTTTGTTTGGATGATGGTTTCCATCGATTCCTCTGATATATATAATTCTAGATGAAAAAAAAAGAACAATAATTGACAGATCAAGACGTAAGTAGCGCAAATTTGGAGAAGGGAAGAAAGTACACGAGAAGACAAGAACCACTATGTATCATAAGATCTCCTGATGCCTTAGAGAAATCTCATAGTAGGCAAACCAGAAGACACACATAGGCTCTTGCAGAAGCCATTAAGATCAAAATACGAGTTATTTATTCTTCTTCTTCTTTCATCAAACATAAAAATGCTACAAACTGGTTCACATTAAACAAACGAAAAATATTGTATTAGGTCATGTTAAAATATATCACAAATTAATTATTAAGCGAAACAAAACTACAAGAAAGAGTAAATTCTTGTAGGTCATCTGTTCTTAAATTAATTAATCTATATAATTGAAAGGGCTTGTGACACTCTCCAGCTGATGACATGTCAGCACTCCTAGAGAGTGCCACGTCATTTTTTTTGTTGCCTCTTCTCCGTCCCCTCCAAAACGACGTCGTTTTGCTTACCTTCTCCGTCCCCTCCAAAACGAAGTCGTTTTAAGTTGAGGGTTAATCCAAACAATCCAAACACGCTTTCACACCGCGCTTCCTTCAGTGGAGACTCTTCGTCTTCTCCTCCCTCCACCGTTACAGATTTCTAGATTCCGGCTTTGGAACGCCCCTCCCCCTTCATTTTTTCTCTCCCAGTATAAATGCATCCACCCACAGATCATGTTTCTCTCAGCTTCGAATCTGTTCCTAAACCCCAAAAATTCTATTGCCGGAGACGACGTCACGTACCGCCGGTCTCTCTCCTCACGAAGACGGTTGCCTCTCCTCGCCGGCCCTCGCCATGATTCACGGTTATCCCTCTCCTCCGCTACCCTCCCCTGTCAATTTCGAAAATTTACTCTTAAGTCTACTGTGGAGACTATCACGGCTCCTGCGTCTATGGGGCCACGGCGATTCACCGGAAAATGGGATTGCCATGCTTCTGCTTGATCAGAAGGTAAGAATCTCTAAGAGCATGTGTAGAATTAACACCCTCTGACATGTATTGTTTCAGGAGATTAACACCCTCATCGACCTAATCATGAATGGAAACACGATATATATGCTTCTTCCTCCTTCAAGCATTTGATGCAATCAGATTGTCTCTTATTAAAACATTTCGCCCTTATCACCCATCCTACAGCAGTCTGATCTTGCTTATGTCATGTCGATCCCCTAAATTATGCTATAAAAATTTGATTTAATTTTGCTTATGCTTTTGGTCTTTGAGAATTACAGGAGAAAATGGTTGCTCAGGAAATCTCCGATCTTGAGAAAGATACAGCCATACAGGGTTCAAGTTGAGAGTGGTGGCTCAAAACTATCCTCATACACCCTGTATGTTAAAATCTCTATGCTGCTTTGAAAGAAATATATCAAAATCTCTGTATAGGTATACCTGATGACCATTCTTTTGTGTGTTTGAAACAGGATTGTTTGCAATAGTTTTCAGAGTGATAAGCACATCTTCAGGTTTGTGTTTGTTATTCATCTTCGTTTTTTTTGCTTTGTTGATATGCAGTTTTAAATGTGAATAGTAGCCATTTTTGTTGTTTGGTTTGCTCTTTTCAAGCGATTTTTGATGGGTTTTTGATGAAACTGAGTTTGTGAAGTTGTATTGATTGAATACTGTTGGTGTAAGATCCATTAGATATCATTGCCTGTCATATGTTCGTTTAAAGAGCTGACTGAGATTTCTTTTTATTTTGGGTCTAAAAACAGGTTAAAAAAACAGAACATGCCTTGCACACAAGCTTTGTAACATTCATGAGGCATCAAGAGGAAACTCCTCACACTCCAAATATGAAGGAGAACAGTGACGTTTAAAGAGGTAAACATTCTTTTTATTTCAGTTTTGTCGTCTTGCATATATTCCTCATTTGGTTTAGTGCTCTTCATGTTGTCGATGTTACATATTTCTAACTGTAATTCAGGCACGAGTCTGGGATTTGGCTTTGATCGGGAAGCTTTTCTCGATTTGTCAAGGTGTAGCCTGGGCAGTTAGGCTTCTTGATCTACTTGAGGCAGAGATGAAGGGTACACAAGACACTCTTGTGACCTCAAATGTTCTGGAACTGTACTATGAGGTAATGATTCAGTTTCTTTTCTTTTTTACCCACAGTTGAAATGAAAATATATAGGGTTATGTTAAATGAGTATGAATGGATAACTCTTAAAGTTAATGGAACTGGAGCACAGTTCAGAGTTTGCACCACAGACTTCACTTATTCAGCTGTTGTTTTCTATCATTAGGTACAGTCACTGTAAAGCTTCACCCATGTTTACAAACCTATTAAGCTTACGTTAGCTCACCCTTCTTTTTTTTTCCTCTGGGTCCTATAATTTGTGTAGTGATAAATCAATGGAAACTTTGTGAAGATGAGAGCAATGATGATAAGCGGCAGGCTCCTCTCGAGGGACAATATCTATGATGCCGTGGAAAAAGCTTAAAAGAGTTTTTTTGTAGTTATTTGCCTTTGTTGGTTATCAAAATGCGATTGTTTGGTTTTCTTTCTATATGCTTTCGAAACAAAGACTTTCAATGACCAAGTTATTTGCCTTTTGTATGGTCAGGAATCAGCCAATTCTATAACTATATCATCATTATTAAGTATTTTGGTTTATCATGAATCCAACCAGTTCTTTTCCCATTTGTTCTGACTGAATTAGTATGAATTATGTTAAATTACATCAAAATCACTGAAGTGGAAAGAAGTTATAGTTTTAGTGAACTACTGTAGACAGTACTTTACAAAATAAACAATCACATGTAGCCTATAATATAAATGGTCAACGATTTTGTAATAAATTATTTAAAAGAAACATAACTTTCAGTAAATTATAATTAATAACTGCACAAAACGCAAAAATGTTATTCAAAATTGAAAAAAAAAAATCAAAAAAATTTATGTAAATAAATAAAATCCCGCGCGTTGCGCGGGTTCTCTCCTAGTTGAGTATTAACACTTTTAACTCAACAGTCTTAAGGCTATTCAGAATTTCAGAGTTTGTTTTGGCAAACCAAATCCATATCTTGATTTTGATCCATATGGTGTAACCCAAATAATACACCTTAATAATGTGGCAATGTCGATGTCGTTTAAAAAACTTGGTTGAATGAGTAAAAATATATTTGAAATAACAAATAACCCAAAATTATACATATAGAAAAAATAAACAGCACGTGAAAACTTGTGTTTACAAGTTAAAGGTTTGACCGGTTCAAATGCAAAAGATATTTTTTTAACTATCCGCAGACACTCGCCGATTCAAACGACCCAAAACAGTGTAAAACGATTTCTATGATTGATGTTAAATTACGAATACTTGCATCTTCTTGCAAACATTAGGTTTGCGAGAGACCGAAAAAGAACAAATCAACACCTAAGTGATAGAGAATCAAAAAAATATGCTTGAAATGACGTTGCGTTTAAATGAAGAAGTTCCAAGTGTGCATATTAAAATATGTAATAAAGGAGTAGTTGCCAAAGACATATTCCTCTTTCTTTTTTTTTTTTTTTTTTTTTTTTTTTTTTTTTGTAGATGAACACTATTTCTCTAAGAAACATTCATAGAATTCAATAAACAACCATACTAGTTGTCGTACCGAATGCTATATAATTCCATCATTTCTATCACAAATCACTCAAAAATAAATTGGCTGAAGAGTAAAAATTGTACTGTCAAAGCAGAAACAAGAGTTAAGAGCACACAATCAATCGACATGGCCAATCCAATGAACTGGTCATCCTCACTAATGTTGGTCTTGGCCTTGTATGCCATTGCTGCTCATACAAGTGCCCAATACACATATTCTCCACCATCACCACCGCCGTATGTTTACAGCTCTCCTCCCTATGTTTACAAATCTCCTCCTCCTCCTCCATACATCTACAGTTCTCCACCACCTCCTCCTTATGTCTACAGCTCCCCTCCTCTTCCACCATATGTTTACAAGTCGCCACCACCTCCTCCTTACGTCTATAGCTCCCCACCACCACCTCCTCCTTATGTTTACAATTCACCACCACCTCCACCTTACGTCTACAGCTCCCCGCCTCCTCCTCCATATGTTTACAAGTCGCCACCACCTCCTCCTTACGTTTATAGCTCTCCACCACCACCTCCATATGTTTACAAATCTCCCCCTCCACCTCCATATGTTTACAGTTCACCACCACCTCCTCCTTATGTTTACAATTCACCACCACCTCCTCCTTATGTCTACAGCTCCCCACCACCACCTCCTTATGTCTACAAGTCGCCACCTCCTCCTCCTTACGTCTATAGCTCTCCACCACCTCCTCCCTATGTTTACAAATCTCCCCCTCCTCCTCCATATGTTTACAGCTCTCCACCACCACCTCCTTACGTCTACAAGTCGCCACCACCTCCTCCATACGTCTATAGCTCTCCACCACCACCTCCCTATGTTTACAAATCTCCCCCACCACCTCCATACGTCTACAGTTCTCCACCACCGCCTCCTTATGTTTACAAATCACCACCACCTCCTTCTTACGTCTACAGTTCCCCACCACCACCTCCTTATGTCTACAATTCACCACCACCTCCTCCTTATGTCTATAGCTCTCCACCACCACCTCCCTACGTGTACAAATCTCCCCCTCCTCCTCCATACGTCTACAGTTCTCCATCACCTCCTCCTTATGTTTACAAGTCTCCATCGCCACCTCCAAGCTATAGCTATAGCTCTCCCCCTCCTCCACTATACTAAACAAATATATACATGATGAACTCAGAAGAAAAAAATGTTTTTTTAAGTGACCAGAGCGAGTCATGGAATAACATCTTTATATTCTATAGTTCTATACTTGTATGGAATATACGTCTAAAATTTGTCTTTATTGTTTGTGCTCTAGTGCAAATTTGTTGTTTGATTGCTATTGAGTATATAAAATAATTTATTCTTGCTCAAGTATGAATTTTTATGGAATATGTTTAAAATTAGATATAGATATACTCTCTGCTTCTAATATTTAAATAATATTATTAGTATTCACAACAAGGTTAACACTTAGTTTCATAGTTTGTCAATCTTCTGCATACTACTACAACATGATTATGTAGAATTCAATGCTTTATATATATTGTCAACAGATTAGACCCTACGGTTCATGAATCCAAGTCATGAAACTGAATTACATAATGCAAAAGATCTGCACTTTGTGCTAGCTTGTATGCTTCGTATTTTTTTCATTTTAGCACTGGTCAATATTTATAAGGGGTACATATTTATAAGTAAAAATCAACATGACAATTGATTTATAATCATCAATTCATCATAATGAATAGAAAGCTTGGACACGAGATATTCATCAATTCTAAATACTAAAGGAACTAGTTTGGGCCGGGTTTAACCAAACCATCAAAATTATTTTTTTAGTTCTGAGATCTTAAAAAATGATTCTATAACAGTTATTACCATTAGATAGTTATGCTGCAGTATTCGGCTACAGTTTCAAAATGATTTAGTACAGTCAGTACAATTAGTGGAATATGAAGATTTTTATTCCACTCATTCCTCTTCAAAATAACAGAGGAATAATTTCAGCTGAATTGTGAACAAATTCAGTTATTTCCAGCAGAATAGGTGGAATTGTTTTCCACTAACATTTATTGCAAATGATAACATTTTAGAGGAACACTCAATTCCACCATGTTTTATTTCTCTAACTGTGCATCCATTTGCACCCATAATAATCATACATCAGCGGTCTCAACTTCTCTCTTCTCACTTTCGAATCTTTTAGGCAAGAGAGAGTGTGTGTGTGTGTTTTTTTTTTTTTTTTTTTTTTTTTTTTTTGCAATTTACTGTAGATCATGTTTTCGGCTTATTCTGATCTTTCCGATCTAGTCGGATCTTTTGCTATGTTTACCTCCTTGCAACCCTGATCTTTTGTTGCCTCCTTTCCGATCTAGACCATCTCAGCTTCTCCTCTTTCAAGCAAATGTTCCCATAAGATGATCTTCCAATGGTGCTGATTACTATAAGGACACTAATGAAAAGAAAGAAAGAAAAGAGCTAAATTTTAACATTGAACCCTAAATTTAATCTTGATAATCAAAAGATTAACTCTGGATCTAAATATTGAACCCTAAATGAGTACAAAAATCTTAATACAAAAATTAATGTTAAAAGCCAAACAAAATATAATATTTTATTTTTATTTAGGATTATTAATCAAGCCTAACCATTTTAAATATTATTTTTAAACAATTATCATCCCATTAATAATATTTTAGACACTTATATTAGTTAAATCTAAAATCTAAATCTTAAAAAGAAAAATCGGTGTTATCCATCCAGTGCGTGTTAGTCGAAGCTTTGTTTTTGTTTTTGAACATAGTTCATCACTATACATTTGATATATATATATCGTCTAAACAATATTTTTCATTTACTAACAAAATGACGATGATTTAGTGTTAACAAACTCAAGTATATGGTGTAATCTTGCATTCTCAGTTTTCATTTGACAAGTCAAAATAATACACTATCCTTTTACTACATAATAAAATCTGTGAGGGAGCTATTTTAAGATTATGCTAATCCTCGAAAATAAATTGGTAATAAAAGTCTGCATCGCCCTTATATTAAAAAAAAAAAAAAAAAATTACAAAGTCTTCGTACATGGCGTCCAGTGTGTTAAGTACAAGTCTTCTCCAATAAGTCACAAGAAGAATGTTTCAAATAAGGTACCGTTCATATATCTTAATCGGTGACCGGTAACCATATAGATTATCCAGTGATTGATTCAAGATCTTCTACACTGGAATTTTTCATATATAGTAATAGTAGAACCTTTCTTTTGTTTTGACTAGGTTAGTTTAAAACTTGAATCGGATAAAGATATTGATTTAAAATTTTACAAGAACTTGTTAGTTGTTACTTTACGTTGTAATGTTTAGAACATAAAACCACAAGAAAGTATATATGGGTTTTCGACTTTTGAAGCAGTTTTTCGGTAGAATCGTGGTGGCGATTTTAGTTTTGCTTTTATGTTATACTCTATTCATTTCAAATTAGTTGTTGTTTTAGGAAAATATATCTACAGTTATTTGGATTTATTTAGATGTATTTAAAGTTTAATATATCTAAATAATTACATATAGAAACGACATCTAATTTAAAACATAAGGTAAATGAACGGTACCTTAAAAAAAATTTTACTAACTAATTATATGAAAATAATTAAATTTTAAAAGATACACCGAAAATATTTAAAAAATTAGTGTCGAGACAAAGCAAAACTAAACCCAAACATTATAACACTATCCTCGAAGAAACATTCAAAAGCTTACTAATTAAACATTATTCTACCAAAGATATTCTCTACTTTTTCTTTAGACAAATGCTTAGGGTAAATTGACATATTAAAAATTATAACACTAATAATCCTTAAAGAAACATTCAAAAGCTTCAATAAACAAGCATAATGTTGTGTGAGTGCCCCTATATATATTGCATCTTTCCTATCACAATTTACTCAAAAATAATTTGGTTGAATAGTAAGAATCATACTAACAAAACAGAGCCAATAAACAACACCCAAGTTCAACCGACATGGCCAGTCCTTGGTCATCTTTGCTTATGTTGGTCTTGGCCTTGTATGCCATTGCTGCTCACACAAGTGCCCAATATACTCCACCATCACCGCCGCCGTATGTTTATAGCTCACCACCCCCTTCTCCCTATGTTTACAAATCTCCCCCTCCTCCTCCATACGTCTACAGTTCTCCACCACCTCCTCCATATGTCTATAGCTCCCCTCCACCACCTCCTTATGTCTATAGCTCCCCACCACCTCCTCCATACGTCTATAGCTCTCCACCACCCCCTCCATATGTTTACAAATCGCCACCACCTCCTCCTTACGTTTACCAGTCACCCCCACCTCCTCCATACGTCTACAGTTCTCCACCTCCTCCTCCTTATGTATACAAGTCACCACCACCTCCTCCATATGTCTATAGCTCCCCACCACCTCCTCCATACGTCTACAGCTCTCCACCACCACCTCCTTATGTCTACAGCTCCCCACCACCTCCTCCATTTTACAAGTCGCCATCTCCTCCTCCCTACGTCTATAGTTCTCCCCCTCCTCCAATATACTAAGCAAACATATATATATGGTGAAGTGAGTTTTAAAAGAAGATTGTTCTCGTTAAGTGATAAGGCATTGTACCCATAAATAAACCGTTATATTCCTATATTGTCATCTATAAGAGACGTGGTTCTTTGTTTGTACTCATGTGATTTGCATTGTTGTTGTTCGATTTCTGTTTTTGATCGATCTTTTATACTTTTTAAAAGATTAATGTTCTTGTCGCTTACTTATATGGTTACGGAATAAATTTAATTCTGCACATCTTAAAGTCTACGTACAACCAGATTAACGTTTATTTGAGAGAAGGAAAATCAAATATAGACAGTCTTTCTCCATGGCTCTAATTAAAGCCTCTAACTCTTATCTCAGTCTCGTGAAAATATTGGATGCTAGCTTGTGCATCCCCAATAGTTTGGCATCATGGCATGCATTTTACATGGTTACCAGTTCTCTCTACAACAGCCTTAATAGCTTGTATGAGGTTACTAGAATCATCACTCAAATTAATATAACATACATACATACAGTATGTTAATTACTTAATTTAATCTTTCAAAGCTTATACAGCAAATTATCATGTTAATTATGGGCCGAGTATTATTGGGTTGTGGATTAAAAAATACCCGGCCCGGATTCTTAAACCTACCCAGGTGTTGTTTTCTTATAAAAAGCTTCCATGGATCCATAATTTCACAGCAGCCGCGAATATCATCAACACATTTTCTGATTTATCTCGCTTATCGATTTGGTGTCTTTTGCTTTGATATATGTTAGGATCGTTTATTAATTTATTTGGTTTTCGGTTTTCGCTCGTATCTGCTGTGTAGAAAGGTCGGATCTTTTTCATGTAACAGCACAGAATAGCCCCTTGCATCTTCGAGTTTCATAGATGCAAGGAACAATTCGAGAAAAGGGTACTCAATTGGTGCAATATATTGGCACTTGCGCATCTTTGTTTCCTCTCTAGGGATGTTCAATAGCTGTGCTTCTCATATATGCGTATTGGCCGATAGAAGTTCGGATATTGTGCTGATAGTTTTGTTTGGGGTTGGTTTTATAGTTTTAACTGGTTTTGGAATGATAAGGAAGCAGAGCATGATGATGAGAATATTTGCCTCTGAAATCAAATTCATGTTGATATATTTATATACAACCTTCAAAGTTCTCTGAATTGCTCTGCTTTCTCTTTTAAATCCTTTTTATTATCTGTTTTTTGCTCTGTTTTTTCTGATTCGATTTTTGTTACTCCAGATTGTTGAATTCATTGGAATTTTAAGGTTTGAAAGAGATCTATATCTGATTCAAGAAATTCGTACTCTGTAACTTGATTTAACTTATCTTTGCATCTAAGAAAATCATAGTCTGTTTAACTGATTCAATGTTTCAGACTACACGAGCATGGTGCTATATGAAATTTCTTCCATGAGTGTTTGTTCATGCCATATTACTGCTTTATTATGGCATATAACTTTTGAAGAAAATATGTTTTTTGGTTGTGGAAACAGTTCCTTGACTCTTTATCAAGAACAAACGAATCTTGTTGCTATGTAATGTTAATCTATTTGAATTTGAATGCATACGAGAAATTGAATTGCTATAAATGAGACAGAAGAGTAATGCACAAAACCAATATGGTTGTAACCTGAGATGCATAGGATTTAGAGGTATGACCAAGAACCTCCATTTGATGACCTCTCAATAATCAATGCAATGTTATTAACAGACAGTGTTCTCAAATTACGAAGATAGTAGAATGTTAGAAACACCAATCTCAAGGTTGATTTGTTAGAGATAAAAAAGATTCACTTATATTTGATAGTTAGAAACATAGCTGTGCTGATACGGTTTAAGCTTTGTATGAAAATCATTGGAGAACATTCGTCAAAACAAAAGTATAGTGTTCTTGAGGGATCAGGGTTCGTGAGGTGAAAGTTTTGACAGTGTTTCTGATGTATTTCTGTATTTCTAAAGCCACAAAAAGTTAGACCGTTACCATCACATTCAGAGGGATGGTACAACATTCGAACATCTTCAAAAATGATCAAGACATGATCCCCTTGAAACATATTTGACAGTGTACCAAAAAGTAAACATTTCATGACCCTTTGAGTATTGGGCTCGTCCCAACAAAATTTGACAAGTAAAAGAAACTCAGCCCAATGCCAAAAACGAAGAGATATGAGATCTTTTTCCCACCTTATATCTTTCTCACTCGCAAGCTGATAGTTCTTTTTTGTAGTCTTTGCTCCTTTTAACGGCAATGGCTTCCTCACTCTCTGCTCTGCCTCTCGCTGATCGAACTTTTTGCAGAAAGTTTTCTTCTTCGCACTTGTCGTCTTCTAATTTCGTTCTGAGAGCAAGAGCCGCTGCAAAAGAGGTTCACTTTAACCGTGATGGCTCTGTAACCAAGAAGCTTCAGGTTTTCTTTCCTTTTTGCGTTCTCTCGCTATTCTTTCCGAAAATTTATCAAGAACTGTCTTATAATAGGAAAATGGCGGTGAAGTTTGCTGCAGGCAGGTGCAGATATGGTGGCGAAGCTATTGGGAGTGACATTGGGTCCAAAGGGACGAAACGTGGTGCTGCAGAACAAATATGGACCTCCTAGGATCGTCAATGACGGTGAAACTGTTCTTAAAGAGGTTTAGTCACTCTCATTTAGTCTCTTCCTTAATGCGCTTCTGATGAAATGCCAAAAACCATAGAATCAGCTTTTTATTGTGTGGTGTAGATTGAATTGGAAGACCCTTTAGAGAATGTTGGAGTGAAACTTGTGAGGCAAGCTGGTGCTAAGACTAATGACCTTGCTGGTGATGGTTCTACTACATCTATTATTCTTGCTCATGGCCTCATCACTGAAGGTATTAAGGTACACCATTCCCGGATGCATGATTACATTACATGCTCTCTGTTTGGTCTTATGAATGATGATCCCATCTCATGACTTGTTCTATTAAGGTGGTTTCTGCTGGAACAAATCCCATCCAAGTTGCTCGTGGTATTGAGAAAACCGCTAACGCTCTTGTTTTAGAGCTCAAGTCAATGTCAAGAGAGGTGAGAACATCCATGCCCTTTAACCCTTTTAAGAGTTACTGAAGTTAGCATATTAATACCGAACCTCCTATGTCTATCTGCAGATTGAGGATGATGAGCTTGCTAATGTTGCAGCAGTTAGTGCAGGGAATGATTATGAAGTAGGAAACATGATCTCCAATGCTTTTCAAAGAGTAGGAAGGAGTGGTGTAGTAACAATAGAGAAAGGGAAATACTTGGTGAACAATCTTGAGGTTGTGGAAGGAATGCAGTTTAATCGTGGCTATTTGTCTCCTTACTTTGTCACTGATCGAAGGAAGAGAGAAGCTGAGTTCCATGATTGCAAGGTCAGAAAAGAAACTAAGAGCCTCTCTCGTTTGTCTTGGAAATGCAGTGGCTAAAGAGTATTGTTTTGTTTCTGTTTTGTTAGCTGCTCTTGGTTGATAAGAAGATAACAAATCCGAAAGATATGTTCAAGATATTGGATTCTGCTGTGAAAGAGGACTATCCAGTTCTTATAGTCGCTGAAGAGATCGAGGAAGACGCTCTTGCTCCTGTGATTAGGAACAAACTAAAAGGTAACCTGAAAGCGGCAGCCATTAAAGCTCCTTCCTTTGGTGAGCGCAAGAGCCATTGCTTGGATGATCTTGCAATCTTGACTGGAGGTAGTCAATCTTAACTTTTACTTTCTGTTTTTATTTTTCCCTTGTGTTTCTTGTTTCTTGGTACTGAATTTCTTAGTTACAGCTACTGTGATAAGAGATGAGATGGGCCTGAGCTTGGAGAAGGCTGGAAAAGAGGTGTTAGGAACAGCTAAAAGGGTTCTTGTAACTAAAGATTCAACACTGATTGTTACTAATGGGGACACTCAGAAAGCAGTTGATGAAAGGGTTTCCCAGATTAGAAAACTCGTCCAGGTCTTTCTCCTATCCATGTCTTGGAACATCTATAGTCATTGATGCTCAACGTTTGAGATTTGCTCTTTTATGTGTGATTCAGAACACGGAGGAAAATTTTCAGAAGAAGATCCTCAATGAAAGAATAGCCAGATTATGTGGTGGAATTGCTATAATCCAGGTGACTTTGTAAAGCACATGATACTAAAAAAACAAAAACAGTCTGTTGTTGAAACTAACTTGGGAAGGCCTTAGGTAGGTGCACAGACGCAAGTTGAGTTAAAGGATAAACAGCTAAAGGTTGAAGATGCCCTGAATGCAACTAAGGTAAAACTCTTGACTCAGAAACATGTGTGGTTCAGAAATTGTCAGTCCAAGAAACCTCTAATCTCTCAGAATTTAGTCAGCAATTGAAGAAGGGATTGTAGTTGGTGGAGGTTGTGCCCTCTTGCGACTAGCTACAAAAGTGGACAAAATCAAAGAAACTCTTGACAACACAGAACAGAAGGTACTCGTTTTAAGGCCATGGAAGTGGAACATCACAAAAGATTTGATCTTTTTTTCTTGCAACATTACAAGCAGATGGGAGCTGAAATATTCAAGAAAGCATTAAGTTACCCCATAAGACTAATAGCCAAAAACGCAGGCAAAAATGGCAATATCGTCATAGAAAAGGTATTGATGATAAATGACTATGTCAGCTCTCTAAGACCAGCCCTAACATCCAATAACTAACTCTGAAAATCTACAGGTCTTATTGAGCGAAAACAAGACATATGGTTACAATGCTGCAAAGAATCAATATGAAGATCTCATGTTGGCTGGTATTATCGATCCGACCAAGGTAAACAACATGGCATTTCACAGATTAACCTGTATTGAGCTCTCTTTGACAGCTTCTCATTGAACCTATTTTTTGTCTGAGAACTAAAAACACAGGTTGTGAGATGTTGCATTGAACACGCTGCATCAGTGGCTAAAACGTTTCTGACATCTGATGCTGTTGTAGTTGAGATCAAAGAAATCAGACCAAGACCAATCATTAATCCACCGATGCCTACTTCTCCTCCAGCTACCTCCTCCATGTTCCCTGACAGAAACTTGCCAAGATTTCCTCAAATCATGCCCAGAACACGAAGCCACTTTCCAAGGAAGTAGTAGGACACAGTCTACTTTAGAAAATACATGACAACCAGATAACATGAGAAAGTCGCATTTTAATGTAAATCTCAAAACTTTACTCAAAACGGGTAATGTATATGTCTCTACTCTCTGCTATGTATACACGAGGGTCTCTGAAATTGCGCAAAATGTCATAAAACGTGTCAAAGCGAGGCTTCACTGCTACTTCTTTTTAATTATTTGTAATTTTCCCCAAACACGAAATCTTACAGTATCGGAGAAATCAAGAGAGAGAGAGAGAGGAATAAAACGAAGATGATGTTGATAAGCATACAGACGGCAATGGATCTGATAGTCGCCGGAATCTCTCTGATGATCGGATTAGGGTTCTTCGCTCTCATCGCTTCCATTCTCTGCTCCGTCGCCTTCTTCCACCATGCCAAAGCTATTTCTTGACCATCAAATCAGGTATCGAATTTTGAAATTTTCTTCACAAGCAAACTTTTGATCGAGCTAGCAATTGTTTCACAGAATCTAAACTTTTTGAGCTCTCTGCATATTCAGTACATAGAATTGAAGATTGAGGAAGACGAAGAACGAGGCTTCTCAATTGCTCTCAGCTTGTACGAAAAATGTAGTTAAGAGAGAGAGAGAGAACTGTAAACTGTGAATTTACGACAGAAGATAATAAATTTGAATTGAATGGAAAAAGTTTGTTATCATTTCCTGTTCTTCTGTTTACGGATAAAAACCATTCCTCGGATCCCATCCGGGTCGGAGACGAACCCGAGCGGGCGGTAAAACCCGAGAACTCGGGGCTCCGAATACAGAGCAATGTTACAGATCCCTTTCCTCTGCAAATCCTCGACCAGCCGCTCCATCACCGCCTTCCCGAGCCCCAGATTCTGAAACGACGGATCCACCACCACGTCCCATATGATTGCGTTGAAAACTCCGTCTCCCGTCGCCCTAGCGAACGCCACCGGCCGCTGCGTTTTCTCGTACTCCACCCACAGCATCGCGTCGGTGTGCTGCAGCGCCACCTCGATCTTCGCCGTGTCTCGCCGTGGGAACCCCACGGCCACGAAGACCGAATTCAGCTGATCTAGGTTCAGTCCCTCCGCCGTTCGGCGGAAGAGAAAGCCTCTCGACTTTAAATCATCGTCGGTGATCGAGTAGCTCGCCGGCTGTCGTGGGACCGGCGACGGAAACGCCGCTTGCGATGACTGTGAGACTGCGTTTTGTGGGTTCAGGGTGGACCTTAACCGGAGAGAAGCCGGAGGAGTGGAGACTGTACCTCCGATAAGCATGGTATACACTAATTCTTGTCAAATTGTCGATTTCATGAAACCAGACAAAAAAGAAATTGAAGGAATGATTTTTTCTTCTTCTTCTTCTTCCTGAATTGGGATAAAGAGTGTGTGGCTGTGGATAACGGAGAACCTCTTTAGCTTTAACTTTTATCTGTTCCGAGTAAATAAAAATTTAAAATCAGTACGAAGAAACTCGTGGCTGTCAGAGAGCATTGTTGTTTGGTAGTTGAGAGTCAGAGAGACACTCTTTTGGCGGGGGATTTAGTTACTGGCTTGAAAATGAAAAAAAAGTCAGAAATGAAGTGAACAAATCCTTAATTACAAAATCTTTTTTTTGTTTTGCTTGTTCTGAATATCTGGGTTCTTGATGATTTGGTTAATCTGGATTTGATCACTTATTGATGATAACAAGCAGTTGATGAATGAATGATATAGAACTTGGGCCGCTTTGTATTCAAAAAGTTTGAAGGTCTAGTCCTTCTTGTTCAACACCGTAGAGTAGTTCATGAGGGCATATTCCAAGAATGTTATCCATTTTCTTTTGTTTCTTGTATCTATCTGCCTATTCGAAGGTGGCTTTTATATGGTAGCGTATACAATGTTTGTGATCGATGAATTAGTTTGATGGTTATCTGAAACTTGAAACTATCATGTTTATTTTATGGTGTTGTCCTCAATTATTACAAGTGACCAAAACTAGAAAGATACTGTGGCATATTTGCTAGACAGACTCTGATGCATTGCAGTTTGTTCCAACTCAAGAACGTTCACATCTTAAGTGTCATTGTTATTACTTATTTTTTCTTCAGCTCTGTAGCTTGTAATATGTTCTGCTTTTGGTTACTTCAGTAGTGTCCATGAATGACCTGTGCAAACGATGTCCTCTGTATATTAGAACCCATCAGTGTTCATGTTTGAGAAAAAAAATGCCTAGACAGCAGAACCCAACTACAAGACTATAAAATCGTTAGTCTGAAGGTGGCAGCACAATATTAGGGAGAAATAAAACGGGATAAAGTCTGCCATTTTCTTGTCCTTCCACGTCTCATGATTGCTTTGGTGATTCTCAAAACTTTCGTTAACTTTTTCAAGTGGTCAGAATTGTACTATGCGGTTCTCCATGTAACAATAAGATCCGAAACTGTGAAAGAGAGAGGCTAGGACTGAAAATTTTCTCTATTCTAAAATTTTTGATTTTGAATCATTATACTTCAGTGATTGGGGGAAGTTGGGCATGCTCTTAGCTGGATGGATATCAGATAGCTTCTCTTGTGATTCTGGTTTCTTGAAGCATTGACATAATTGAAAAAATAAAAGTTTTGTTTTTTGTAATAGTACTGTTAGGCCTAGGTACTGTTTGGCAAGGCAATAAAGAGATTGGTGGTTGTTTGTTGTACCAAGACTCTGCTGTGTTCTCTATGGTTGTCGAAATGCTTTACTAATCCTTGGTGGTGTCATTGTCAACTAGGAGTGGAACGTGCACATGCTATTGTTGGACACAAGTGCTCGGTTCTTGGCCTTTACTCGTTGAACTAGTCTGGTCCTAATAATCTCCCTGAAGGTGAAATTGATAGACCAGGTTCATTGTTTTATGCTTTTACCAAGCAACATTCTCTCACCATCTCACCTTTTGTGGGTCACATAATTAGGTCGGGACGGCCCATCTTTCATTTTCATCCATCTGTTTATTTGCTCCTACGTGCATTATGATGGACTGGAGATTATACAAAAGTCGATAACGACCTGAGAATAACATCAACGTGAGGGTCTTCCTCTTCTGGAAAGTTGCCAGCTACAGTCTCTTTGTTCTTTTCTGTTCCCATTAATTGTGCCTCATTAACCTTTAATACTTTTCAGTGATTTATCTAAGAGCACAACTGATATATTTACCTCTCTTCTAATTTTCCAGGATCAGATCCCAATCTTGTGATTTCAAGTTGCTATAATTGCTCAAGTGAGGATCTGTCTCTATCTTTTAGTTATGTGTTTTCTTCTGTTAACTATAATTTTCCTAAACTGTTTCTTGAGCTACTATAAATGCAATTATTATTGTTCCCGTAATAGATAAATAAGCCATGTTGCCATGTTTGGTTAAGTGTCTCTGATGGGTAATACTTGTATGTACTGTTATAAATGCTTCTACTACGTGTTAGACAACGTGGGGGAAAGAAATCACAAGAGGTTCGTTTCGGATCTTTTCTAAGAACTTCCTTTTCCTGATGTGCAAATAGTTTTTTCTTAAGGAAGTGGTTATAAAGAGTTTGTATAGTAGTAGAAAATGACAGATTTTTGAATGATTGCAATTTGTTGTTTTGTAAAAGAGTCATGTGAAGCTCTTGAAAGTAGCAGGACTTATTGTTTAGCAAAGCAAAGCTCTGCTGTTAGCTACTTGGGCCACACATCATAGAAACAATATTGGTAACCTTAGAAACTCCTGTTTTGTCATCAACCGTCTTGTCCTCTACCATGAGCGTTTCTTTTTCCCCGGAAAACATGATTACTGTTTCATAAAATAATGTCTGCTTTTCAGTGCATTAACTGGTTACTGTTGAGTAATTAATCATGAAAAAATGTTTGGTTTTTTCTTCCTGGAATCACCGTTTTGATTGCCTCCTGTGTTGAACATGCAGATCAAGATTTGCTCTGTTTTTGGTTTTTGGAAAGGAAGTATGTGAAGAACAGGGTAGATATAAAATATAACAGGGTTACAACGGAGAACCGTAAAGATCACTTATTCCAGACAGCATCTACACACAAAAAAGAAAACATAATCCGGCAAGAGAAAACAATGCAACTACCTACACACATGTCTTATTAAAGGCAAACAACAGGATTGGTGAGAGACCTGAAACATCTCTTTTCATTACAGGATTTGGATTCTTTGTGAAGTTTCAAATTAACCCACCATATCTTCATGAGTATTATTTGGTTTTGTTCACCTTGCCTCTACTCTGGACACGACTACCTGCACTTGTTCTAGCTTTGAGCTCTGATTTATCTCCTTCGTTGCTTAATGATTTCTCTGTGTATTGGCGTTTCTCAAGGTGTCTACCTATCTTCTTCTTAGCTGCATGTTTGTTGATGTTCTTTGAATGCTGATTGCTAGGCCCTGAAGATGCATCTGAAGCCATCGAGTCATCACTCTCCTCATCATCACTACTATCACCATCATCAGCCTCTTTTACCTGTGAATCGTCATCGATGTCACCATCATCATCCTCCTCATCATCAACAACAATGGAAGAGTGGTCATTTCCATGGAAGGCGTCTTCTATGTACATAGTCCACCCTGACTCACAGCTGCTGTATTCTTCTTCTTCTTCTTCTTCCCCAGAGCCTCCATGGTTCCTCGGAGACTCCATGGCTTCGAGCAAAGCAAAAGAATAAAACAAAAACAAGATTTCAGGTTTAGCATATATGCAAAAAAAAATATTTTTTTTGTGTATGTGTGTTCCGTACCTTGTTTGTTTGAATCCACTTCACCAATTTACTCTGAGGCTATGTGTATGTGTCTCTCTTTGGCTTTGCTCATCCATCATCAATAAATACAAGTCTTTTTGATTTTTTGCAAGTATCAGGAAAAGCCGGAGCCTATAAGAAGCCTCATATAATTGAAGAGCAGGAGTAAGTTTCACCACATGGCAACCCTAGCACCATTGTTTTCACTCAATTGAAGCACTACCAGACAAAGCCATTGCAGATATATATATCAAGGAAGGTTAGTGCCTTCTTCATTATAAAGTACACTCTCTTATAGAATTAAAAGCCTATGCTCTTCTTTTTTTCTCTATAATATCACTAAATATATATATCTAAACTTTTCTTTAAACAAGTATTTTGGTTCCTAACAAACCGTAATCTAGTCTAGAGTCAGGACACATCAATACCCACAAAACAAGAATCATCCTTCTCAGCTCTGTCATTAGTGAGCTCATATGTTTAACTTGTCCTTCTTGTGCTCTTCTTAATTGATATATAATAATCATATGATAAGTTTTTTAGCTTCTATGTATTCTCTCTCTCTCTTCTCTCTTATGTATCACACAGGCTATCTTAAATATTAAAGATCAGCTTTTGAGGTGGAAATCAGAAGAGACCCACATCAAGAAAGAAGAAGGAATAAAAGAAGCATTTACTTAATTAGGTTAAGAGCTGTTTCCTCTTTCTCATTCCTTTAATACTCTTCTTCTTCCTCCAATACTCTTCCTTTGTATTTAAAATTGTTGCAGCCTTTTCTTCCTCTCTCATTGTATGGATAGGTAAAACCCAACTGGATTTTCTTTTTAATTCTTCTTAAGATAAGGACAAAACAAAAACAAGTATAACAACTGTCACAATAAAGATAATAGAAGACAGAAATTTCCTTAATGTACTGTTTGACATATAAACTGTCTTCATTGCGTTTTCTTGTTTCTCTGGCGTCACCTTAAAATGTTCTTCCTCAATGGAGGCCCTCTTGGTGACAGCTAGCAAATTCAAGTGTGTATAGTGAGAGTTGATATTACAAAAAGGGTTGTTTTGTTTTGACTTTGACTCATCTTTGAGTAGTTTAAAAACCAAGATGATTAGCTTTGGGCTTATAAGACAATTTTGATTTTCAGTAATTAATAAAAAACAATTCTGAAATGGGTACTATACAGTGGGTCTCACGAGTTTGTGAAGATGTGTGTTAGGATTTATTGGAGTCTTTGTACAAATCGTTAATGGCTGAAAAAAAATGAAGTTGTAGTCATTGGATTTTCTCATGTGGGTCTCTTTCTGTCGATTGCCCTACGTGTGTGTGTGACTATGGAATGTCATTGTACGTCGCTATTATGTGTCACCGATTCATTCATTTTAAGTTGATAACTCACAGATTTGAAAGCTTCACCAATCACTTGCTTTAACCAATTGATAACTTTGTTTGGCAAGTCGGTGTGATAAAATGGACGAAATGTTTGTGTTGCCTCTTATTGTGAAGCTTTGTGGTGTTTAAACATCTCAAAACCAGTTGATAACAACTAGTATCTATAATCTGAATCAGTTACATTTGTTGTTTGTAGCTTTTAAATCAACTGAACTGAATTAAGATGAATACGGTTGATAGATTTGGTTGAACAAACTCATGTCTCTTGTTGGTTTTGTAAAAGGCCTAAAGAAGGTGGTGTGTCCGTCCTTAGCACCAAAATATTGTTTGACTTTCAAGTTTCAATGCATGTCCGTCTCACTCATAAATACTTTCTTATATTTTCGTGTCCCTAACATATCTTCTCAAATCAAATCCAAACACATGTAATGATACGCAGACGACTATTCCTAAAGTGTGTTAGGTTAGCAATTAGTTACTAACAAGTAACAAGTGAGTTGGATTAGACTAAGAACAGGTTAAAGACAACTCCTGATCCGATGTTAGAGCTTATTTAATTAGATTGGCGAGTATGTGACGACATAAATTACCAAATTTGGTGGGTCTAATGTAAAAAAAAAAACAATTAAAAAGAGATTTGATAGGAGAAAGGAGAAATTGTCGGCTCCTTCCTGACGAAATCATATTTGTAAATTTGTTAGTAATAATCACAATCCGACATTCTTTGTTTACGTATTTGTACTCTCTCTCACAGCTGTACCCATTTTCACCAACCAACTCAATCTTTCTTTTTCTTCTTCTTTTTATTTATTTTATTATCCAGGAAACAAAACAATTTCACCAACTCTATTATAAAAAACTTTATATTAGAATAATAGTTAGTCGTGGGATAAAAAAAAAAGCTCTCGGAGACATTAGTGGCCAAATATCATTGTATCAAGAATTGCACATCAAGAAGTCAACGTAAATACTTCCTATGAATGATTGTTCGATTTGTGATTGTTCATTGTTGGTCCGGGTTAATTCTTCTTTTGTGATGTATGACTTGGAGAATCAATCACGTAATGGCTTTTCTTTATGGTATTTTATCTTGCAAAAGTAAAGTCAAGTGGATACTCTAATCTTTTCCCCTATTTTAGAGGGTTGAACTCAACGAAGACGAAGAATAAGAATTGAAAAACAGAATAACGTTACGTCAAAGACGTTGTTTTTTTAGCAAGATCTCGACTAGAATATGGAACTGAATCTCTTGAATTGGGATTGGGATCAAGAATCTTACCCAGATTCTTCTGATTTCTGGATCCTCATCTTCTTTGCTCCCTTCTTCCTTTTTCTTCGCTTCATTCTCGACAGATCCATATTCGAGGTACGTACTCGCTACTTTCTTTTTGTTTTATTTCTCTCTATAGTATTCGTTGTGACGTGGGAAGCAAGTAATCTGTCAAGAGAAACCGATCTGAAAGATTTACAATTACATGATAGAGAGTGGCTAGACGGCTAATATTTCCAAGAGGACACTGTGCTGTTTCGAACGAGAGAAGAAAGAGGATAGTGAAATTCAAAGAATCAGCTTGGAAATGTCTATGCTCTCTCTCTATCGAAGCTCTTGCTCTTCACGTCACTTATAAGGAGCCATGGTTTAAAGACACAAGATGCTTCGGGTTAGGACCAGGAGACAAGATATGGCCTGACCAAAAGATAAAGTAAAAATAGCCTTAACTATTAACCTTTATCAGCAACGTGAGGCGCAAGAAAGTATAAGTGTACTCTAACCCCTAATTTCTTTTATCTTTTTTCCGCAGGTTGAGAATGAAGGCAATGTATATGTTTGTCGGTGGGTTGAATGTATATTCCTTTTTTGCTTTGTTCTTTTGGGAAACAAGACGATCTGATTTCAAAGTCATGTTAGTCCATCACATTGTAACTTCATTCCTCATCATCTTATCTTACGTTTTCAGGTATATATATAATCCAACTAATTAAAAGTTAACAGCAACAAACATTTTCTGAGTCCACCACATTTCTAACTTTGACTTCCTGTTTGTATATATATATCATTTCTTTATTAGATTTGCTCGTATAGGTTCGGTAATATTGGCTCTTCACGAAATCAGCGACGTGTTTCTAGAGATAGGCAAGATGTGCAAATACAGCGGCGCAGAAGCCATGACTAGCTTCTCGTTCGTCCTATTTTTCTTGTCGTGGACCGCTCTGCGACTCATCTATTATCCTTTCTGGATCCTATGGAGCACTAGGTTTCGTATACATTAAACCCTAAACTTATATAATGCGACTTGAAATTGGATCTTTATATTTTTTGGTTGATCTATAATATGCAGCTACGAATCAATAAAAGTGAAACTGGAGTGGGACAATAAGCATTTGGTGGAAGCTGGACTACCTCGTATGGTCTACTATGTCTTCAACACACTTCTCTATTGCTTACAGATCCTTCACATCTACTGGTGGTTCTTGATATGTCGTGTGCTCATCAGCCAAATCCTCGCCAAAGGCAAAATCGCTAGAGACGTCCGTTCTGGTTAGACGTCCATATCTAAACCAACAAGTACTTAATTTAGTCCGTTCGTTCTTTTTGTTAGCCATCTTTTTTCAATTATTCTTTGCAGATAGGTGAAGATGAACAACACCAAGATTGATTGTCGTCTTGTCCAATCAAATTGTGTCGACGTGTGATATACGTTCACGGAATAAAAGCCATTGTTTTGCGAATACCCGTCCGTGACCAAGTGTGTCTTAGTTTCAGTGAATTTTTAGAATGCATGATCATGACGATAGGAAGATAACTAAGAAGAAAGCCTAAACAAATGACGCAATGAGAAAAAAAACAAAGGTTTATATATATCTTGTAAAAAATGATAATTCAACAAGTAAATTCTATCATAGTTGCTGACTTGCTGCCCAAGACATAGGTCAAGACTTGTGTGACGCAAATTCATCAGAGAGTGGCAGCCACTACCTTGACAATGTCATAATGATAGGATGTAAGCACACGATCAAACCACTCAACTCTCCCCCGAATTTGACAAGGTTGGTACCTTTCAAGCGCAATCTCCGCACACCAAACAATCGTAGCATACGAGTTGTCATAACGAGAGATCTTTTCCCACAAAACCGCCATCTTTCCACCATAATCAGCCAATCTAACATCTCTCTGAATCCTTTCACCATCGGGTAACTCAGGTAGTCCCACCAAACTCATCACCTCTCTCCACATGCTTTCCTCAGTGTCATACCATCTTATGGCTCCATTAGCAGCAGAATACAAAACATTGTCTATCTCGCAATAAGAATCTGAGATCATATAATGACTCATCCCCGGACGAAGTACCTCGTCCCATCTACCTTGTTTCGAATCGTAAGCAAGCACCCTTCTGTCTTGAATCACCTTTCTGTAGCGAAGCAACCTTCTGTCGAAAAGCACCACATGGAACTTTCCGTCGATACATAGGGTTTGATTGTTTACTTTCGTATATTCCTCGCCGAAAGGGATGGGCACAGGATCGCAACTCTGTGTTCTTGTGTCAAACACCTCGACCGAGTTCTTATAAGAACCGTCATCTTCTTTGCACACTCCCGCAACGTAGATCTTTCCATCCAGGGCGCTTGCAGACAAAAACTTTCGCTTCACTCGAAAGATTGAAGAAGTCGTTCGCCACGTGTGAGACCGGCAATCCAGAATCGAGACGCTAACGGATCCAGTGGATGTGTCAATGTTGTAGATATTAGAGCCAACGGCCACGATAGACCCAAACCTGGCATAAGTAGAATGTGGGATTGAGGCTGTAGCCAAAACGTATCCACTTGACTTGTTCTCACTCGTGTCCTCTTCTTCATTGGTTAGGGATTTATCAGGTTTCCGGCATAGGGTGAACCAGCTATATTTAGAACCGCGCTTTAAGCAAACGTAGAGACAACTCTCGGTGCGGCCCAAGAGTGACCGGACCTTGTATAGCTCTGGTGAAGCAACGAGAGATCGAAAGCTCTTGGAGACCAGGGAGAGTGTCGGATAGTACAACCTTGACACGTGTGCGATGCAGTTCAATAGCAAATCATACGGAAGCGACAGAATCGGTGTGGATTGGGGCGGCGTCAGCATCAGCTTCTTCTTAGGCGTCTCCATCGTCGTAACCGTTGTCTTCTTCCTCTTTGCCGTAGGACGGTAGGAGACAATGTTATTGGCGGATTAAGGATCAACCTTTGGATTCATCATTGAATGATTTCACTTATTCTCTCGTGCTCGCTATGCGGCCAAAATAAAGGAAGATGAAAAAAAAAAACCTAAAACCTTTTTAAGCGTTCCCCTATTGACTTTCTGATCATGTCAATACCGTCTGCAATCAATTGTCAAAAACCTTAAATTGATTTGATATCAATTTCGAATGTGGAAAGATCTCACTATTTTTTTCAAATATTCGAGAAAATAAATGATAAAATTAATATTATCGACGTTACGTACTTACGTGCATATGTATATATCGATCATCTTTTCTTTAATAATAACATATGCACGTAAGTACGTTATTACGTCAAAAAAATTATTACGTACTAATATTATCGACGTTACGTACTTATATACGTGCATTCGTACGAATGTATACATCGTTGGTAATATCATTTTTTACAACTACGAAGACGAAGATGCTAGATCTATCATGTCCTCGTGCATGGCTCATGTTACTCGGTGTCCATGAAAGTCAATGATTCTCATCACCTTCAGAATCCGCAAAGTCAATGAAAAGTGCTTTTCTTCACGAGTACTACAACACATCAATACACTTTGAAACATATTGATCACAAGATTCACAACTACTCATGAGATCTTTGAAGAAGAATGGCTAGCCTTTCATCTCAATTGAAAGTATTTAACCATATATATTCATTGTAGTTCAACAACCGTAGTTAACCTCCTTTATCGAAAGAAAACAACCGTAGTTAACCTATTTTTCATATTTTAGAAATTAATGTTGCTCTCGGATTAGAAGTTTGATTTATAATAATTTGACCACGAGCCCAAACTTCTTCTTTTTGGGCTCAAGGCTGGTCGTACAGATGAATGTACACACACAACAAACAAACCTCTGTAGACTTGGAAAACAGTGAGATTTTATTTTTTATGTAAGAACAGTTATGCTTTTTATAAGTTTAGAATAATTAGAAATATTTTATGAAATTAATACGATATTAAAATTACAAGACTAATATATATATATATACTAGATCAGGTCCCATGTATATGCGGGTATTTTACGATTTTTTTAACAAATCACGAAAAAATATTAAACAAAATCAGATCACTTTAAAAAGTAAGTAGAATAATATTAAAAATACGATAACATATCTATAAATAAAATAATATTGGTAATACTTTTACATTTTGATTATAATTGACATCTTTTTAGTTCATGATATGAAAAATGAATTAATTTGTATTCTTTTGATTTTTTATCCAATATAGAAAGACTTACACATGTCTAGATCTGATCGACTAATTAATTTGTGAAATTTTGATTATTCTATTCAAGAGATTTCAATTGATGAAATATTTTTAATATTTTTTTACCTAACAAAAATTAAAAGTTAAACTAATTAAAATTAGAAGATCGGTCCACTATAAATTTTTCATTTCAATATTAGTTAGTTGCAGGACAATTATTTTGTTAGTTTTCTATTTGTATTGTTTCTTTTTCAACTTTGTTTTTACTTTAGAGTATTATAAATATTCCTTTTCATTATTAATTAGTTTTATTATATTTTATTTTTATTTTGTTAGTTTTCTATTTCTGTTGTTACTTTTTTCCAGTTTTATTGTGTTCACACATCATATTATCTGATCAAATATTAGACACATGTTGTAATAGTAAATTTGATTTCAATCAAAATAATCTATGATTAAATACCTTAGCACTCCAAGGGCTTGTGGTTTATGATTATGACACTCTTGGCAAAAGAATGATGTTTCCAAAATTTTCAATTTTTTTTGTCAAACTGAACATGCTACATAGTTTACGTAAATTAATATTGATAATAGTCACTTCACGTATAAACTCTTTGTCCTGAAATTTAAAAAGTAAAAAAATTGTTAGAAACAATCTAGCAAGAAAAGAATAAGTTATCTTTGAAAAATATTAAAAATAGAAAAAAACTCCATTACCATAAAATTATCCAATGAAACAAAATCCCAAATATCACTGATTGTTTGTTGTTGTTGTGTTAAAAGATAATATAATTTTGATGAATGAAAAACGTTTTTCTATTAGGATATACTCCCTCCGTTTTTTATTGATAAGTTTTCTAGAATTTTCACACATATTAAGAAAAAGCTGATTTTCAATCATTAGTGTATATAAATTTGCAATAACACAACTTTCTATAATTTTAGACCAACAAAAATCTAACAGATACAATTAATGTTTCTTGAAAACTGAAAAAGTGCATCAAAAAGGTAGAAAATTAATCTTTGTGAAACAACAAAAAATGTCTAGAAAATTCATCTTAAAAACGGAGGGAGTAACAGTTATATTTTTTTTTCTTCTTTTTACTATAATATATTTTTTTTTCTTTTCCTATTTCTAACATTTTCTTAGTTTTTTTTTCTTTTTTTTTTCCAAGAATAGGGTTACGGTTTAGAACAAAGAGCCACGCATAAAACGCATGCTTTGGAATCCTTGCTTTGTGCCAAATTAGACTCTCCCAAGAAACCTTTGGTTTGGAATCTCTGATAAAGTTCCAAACTTGCCGCGACGAGAAACATTTCTGGTTTACTCTATCCATAATCTAGACCGCTTGATCGGTCAATGTATTTGGCTGCAAGGTAGTGACAAACGCATGAAGATTTAGTTGTTTTTCTAACCTTGTTGGAGGAAGGGACCACCCTTGAGGAGTAATCAGATCACTGATTGTTGAGAATAAAGGAATGACCATTATTGAAGGTCCATCACAGCCAATGTAGTGGATCATCCATACGGAGTCCACGGATCCCACTAAAAGAAAGTGTCCTCACCATTTCCAATCAGAGTTCAAATAAGAGAGATAGCTTTACTTTTGAGCTTCAAAAGCTGACGGAACATCCATGAGAACTCACAATTGTTTCCATTTAGGGCCCAAAATGGAGAGTGAGAAAGGTACTTTTCTCTTATCCAGGCTACCCAAATTGAGCCGGCTCTGAAAAATAGCATCCAAATAAGCTTTAAGCCGCAAATTTCATTCCAACTTCTTATACCTCTAAGACCCAGGTCTCCCTCTTTTTTGGGAAAGGATAAATCAGACCATGCGACCTTTGCCCCTTTTGCTGAGTCTGTTGTACCGTGCCAGAAGAAAGCACTGGTGAGGGAGTTAATACATCTGATTACTGCCTTGGGTAGGAAGAAAGCCAAGCTCCAGAAGCCTACTATGCCAGGGATCACTGTAGATAGAAGAGTGTATCTTCCCGCCATGCTTAAGATCTGATGGGTCCAGCTATTAAGCTTCTTTCTAATTTGAGTAATCAGCGGATCGCAGTCGGTGACGGATAACTTTCTTGTGCATAACGGCAAACTAAGGTAGCGAATTGGAAAAGAGCTAGCGGAGAGGCCTACAACAGACTCTATGTCCACCAATACCATTGGATCAACTCATGAACAGAACATACTAGTTTTAGAAATATTGACTGCCAAGCCTGAAAGTTCCTCAAACCTTTTCAAGACCGAGAACACTTCTTGCAATGATTTCAGAGTTTCGTCTAGGAAAATAAGTAAGTCATCAGCGAAGGATAGATGGGTAAACTCGGGCTTTACTTGTTGATGGACTTCAAAGCATTTATCGCTGATTCAGTGTCGTTTATAGCTAGATGACACATCGAAATACTGATTGTCAATTGCTTTCATCTCTTTTATCCTTTTCTTTACATAAGATTAATCAAAATAGGTTCCTTCAGAGTTAATTGTAAACCTAAATATTTCATTCATAATGACATATACCATTTAGCCAAAAAAAAAGACTTTTGAAAAGAAAAAGAGTATAGACATGTACGTAATGTGATCACAAGAACTATATAGTCTAATTAATATTCAACCTAATGAACGCAAATACGTACTCGTATAGGTCCCATGAAGGCATGAACGGCTCCTTTTTTTTTTTATAATCATGCTGCTTATTTCTTTAATCAAGGAAATGCCGAAAGTGTAGCCGTATAATGTATTTATGCCTCCCCTTTTTAATCATATGCTTCACTTCACTTTATAATAGGGCTTTATAATATTCAGTTTTGTTTTATTGCCTTTGCTCCACTTTATGACTATAGTTTTCAGAGTACACAAGAAACAAATTGCACATTTATGAGAATTAAATGTATAAAATCGGCTCCCACTAAATAATTAAAAGAGTAGTAGGGACCTACATGAAAAGCAAGTGAACCTACTCGTGAGCCCTAGAGAAAGATAAAAAGATTAAGGGGTGATTGGTTGTTGCTCTAGTTTTTTTTTTTTGCTGTAGAGTTTTTGTTTTATATTTTATGGATGTGGCTGTGAAATTGTTGTTTTAGGATATTAATTGCAGGATTTTAGTAAAAAAGGAAATAGGTAAATACGGAAAATAATAATAAGGAAAAAAGTAAAGAAAAAAACAATATATTTGGAAAGAATCAAAGAGAGAGAAAAAAGAAATTCAGAGCTTTTAAAATTATGCTCTAGAAGTTTTGCAGACTAAAAAAGGAAGGAAAAATGAAAGAAATGAAAGAAGACGGTAGGTTTTAAAAAAAATGTATAAAGCATAATTGGTGATCTATTTGGTTTTAGAATTTTTTTTTTGCTTTCTACAGCTTCTACAGCTACAACCAATCAGTCCAAAAGGATTGTTGAAGATTGAAGAAGGCATGTGAATGTCAAGTGTACGAACTACGAAGTCAGAGAACTAAACTGCACACAACATGTGGATCCTCGTCACTTTGTCATCACTTCACTCATAAGTCAATAAGCCTACGATTCCCTACTTCTTTCTTTTTTTCTGTCATTTATTTTCTTCGAAAATGTACTAACAAATCAGTTATTTGAAAAACAACAGAGTTTTGAACAAAAAAAAAAGAAAAACAACAGAGTTAAAAGAAACAATAGTGTATACATACAAATGCTAAACATGCGATTATTC